AATTCAAAAACACATTAAAGAGCTTATATGCTGATCAAGTTGGTTTCATTTCAGGGATGCAGGGTTGATATGATTTGACATATTCAAAATAAAACACAACACATAAATAGAATTAAGGACAAAAGTAATTATACAATCATCTCAATAGATGCAGAAAAAGCCTTTGAGAAAATCAAACATTTCTTCATGGTAAAACACCTGAAGAAACTGGGAATAGAAAAGTTACCTTAACATAATAAAGGATATATATGACAAACCTATAGCCAACATTAGAGACAATTTCTTGTAAAATCAGAAATAAGATAAGAGTGTATGGTCTTTCAACTCTTATTCAATATGGTTCTTAAATTCTTAGCCAGAGAAATAAGGCAAGAGGAAAAAAAATAAAAAAGATGCAGGCAGGAAAGATTTTTGATAAAGTTTCCAAAACTGAATGTTGGAGGAGAGAAAGCCTCTTCAATAAATGGGGTTGGCAGATTGGATTTCTACATGTAGAAGACTGATACTACATTCCTATTTCTCCCCCCGTATAAAAATAATTCAAAATGGTTCAAAGACTTTAATGTAAGACCTAAAACTTTGAATCTACTACAGAAAACATAGGGAAAACACTTGTATATACAGGGAGAGAAAACTAATTTTTAATAGGACTCCAATAACTCAGGAAATAAGAGCAAGAATTGACAAATGAGATTCCATAAAATTAAAAAGTTTCTGAATTTCAAAGAAAATTATTACCAGAACAAAAATACAGCTGACAGAATAGGAGAAAAAGCTTCAAGCTATTCATCTGAGAAGTGATTAATATCCAGAATATATAAAGATCCCCAAAAAATTAAATACCGAAAGAACAAAAAATTCATTTAATGCATGGGTAAAAGAATTGGACAATTTTCAAAAGAGAACTGACCAATAAATACATGTAAAATTCTCAGCATCCTTGGCCATGAAAGAAATGCAAATCATAACTCCATTGAGATTCTCTCTGACCCTAGTCAGAATAACTATCCTCAAGGAAACAAGCATCAACAAATGTTAGCAAGGATTTTGGGGGGAAAGGAACCATTACACACTATTAGTAAGAATGTAAATTAGTGCAGCTACTATGGAAATCAATAAGGATGGTCCCCAAGAAACCACAAATAGCACTACTATATGTTCTTGCTATACCACTTCTGGGCATGTATCCAAAGAAATGTAAGTCAGTGTACGATGAAGATACTTGCAGACCCATTTCTATAGCAGTACAATTCACAGTAGCCAAGCAATGGAATCAGCCTAGGTGCCCATAATCAATTAGTGGATGAAGAAAACATGCTGTATATATGCAGTGGGCTATTATTCAGTCATAAAGAAAAAAATATGTCATTTGCAGGAAAGTAGTTGGAGCTAAAGATTATGTTAAGCAAAATAAATCAGACTCACAAAGACAAATGTTTCATATTTTCTCTCATATATGGAATCTCTACCTGATATGTACACATACATTGTGGTGATGAATGTAAAAGGGGAACTATTTGGAAGATTTAATTGGTGCGAGGGAAGAGGGGATAGAAGAGGGAGACAGAGGTGAATATGACAGAAGTAGATCATAGTCTTGAATAAATATTGCATAATGAAACCTATTAAAATTATAAATAACAACTAAGGACTGGGTTAGTGGTACATGCCTATAATCCCAGCTACTGAGGTCAGAGTGTAGGAGGTTGACATCCAAGGCTATTCTGGGAAAAATTAGTAGAAGAACCTAACTGGGGGCATGAACCAAGTGGTAGAGCCCTTGACTATTAATTTCAAGCCTCTGAGTTTAATACCTCATAACCATCCCACAAAAAAAATTGTATGAAAAGGATAGGAATGTGGGAGAAGAATAGGAGAGCAATGGAGGTTATAAATATGGCCCAAGTACACTATGTTTGTATAGTTCAACTAATATATGCTAATAAAATTTTAAAATTAAAAAAGAATAAGGGAATTGTAATGATGATATGGTGACTCTATAAGATCTATCCTCCAACAAATAACAAATACAAACTCTGATAAGTAGTCTGAAAGCCTAGTTAAGTCACAGCAAAGCAACAAAAAGCAGGCAGAAACTACAAGAAAGCCCATATTTGGATGAAAGATAAGTTTTCCATATTTATCACTTTGTTCTAGAAAGTAAATCCCAGTCAAATGGAAACTCATGAAGATCCTCCTATAGAGTTAGTGAAGGCATCTAAGGAAGGGGATACCCACTAACGGACAACCCAATATTCTAATACAAACTCTGCCCAAGTCTCTGGTTGATGTTTAAAATATGAACGTGACAACAATACTCCAGTGAGCCATGCTAAGACTAAAAGAAGTGAACTGAGATTTCAGTTACTTCCCACTGTAGAGAAACAGAACTTGAAGTTTTAAACCCATTGTGTTAAATGCATGTTAAAATCCAGTCATCTTCAAACATATGAAACAAAATCCAGACATATCTTTAACAATGTTTAAGATACAATATGAAAATTAATAAACATATGAAGGAAAGGAATAGCAAATTAACATGGAATTGTAGAAAGGAATATTTAATTTACAATGAAAAATTATAACACTGGTTGAAGCAAAGGATTTAAAAGTAGGTATCATTTAAGACTCAACAGGAGGGAGCTTTTTAGATAATGGTAATGCCTTATAACTTAGTATACTGAATAGATTGTATGCATTTGTCAAAATTCATTTAATATTTCATTCTATGCAAATTTAATCTAAAAGTAAAGATATCTTGAATTCTAGCTAACTATATGAATGTTAAAATATTTAGGGGTGAAGTACACCTTCAACTAACTTTTAAATGACACCAAATTTCAAGAATAGAGAGGTAGAGGAATAACTATGTAATGGAAGTAAAGTAATTTTATCTATGTGGTAGAATTTTATCTAGGTGGCAGACACATACATGCTAACATACTTTCAACCTCTGCAGATGTTTGGTATGTTCATAATAAAATGACAAATAGTGAGGCTAATCTGTTTTTAGTGATATGAAATAAAATGTGAAATACATTGAAAAGAATATTTGCCAAGAAAAAGAAAAGCAAGGTGCAGGAAGGTTTGGGAAGTGTGTTTCTGTGTAAAAGAATGGATTTCATAAGTCATTTATGTGAACTTGAGCAAAGAAGGCATATTTCTATGGACAGGAACAAAACAGTCATTAAGACTGGTTTTCTATAGACAAGGTAACTTATTTTATGCTCTTTTTTTGTGTGATTTAGTGAATCTTTACTCACCTGAAAGGAAACACATGACTTGCATCGATTAAATAAATAAATGTCTTGCAATTTATATGAAAGATTAGTGTTCAAGACACTCCCTGAATTAAAAAGCTTGAGACCACTGCAATTGGAAAGAATAAAAAGGGAGAGGAATGTTTTGTTGTTGTTTTGAACAAAAAGAACACCAATGAACAGACAAACATTTTGAATTCCATGAAGAATTAGTCATTCCTTGGTAATTTTTCATAATGATTTAGAATGAATGAAATAAGAACAAAGATATTTTGGCAGAAAGTTTGATACATTTGACTGAAAGATTTAAAAAACATGCCTACATGTTCAGAAAAATTGTTGAATCCTGAATCTTTTACGAGTCATGCTACTTAGCAGGGTTTATTGTAAGCTATTACCTGAAGTGTGTCTCCAAGAGGTACAGAGGCTTCACACAGGCATACACACCATATGAGGATTACTGTAATACTGTCAGCACTAGAAAGGCACATTTCTTCTATTACAAAGTCAATTGCTTTTCACAATTTTATTTTCTGACACAGGTAGGTCCTATAATCAATATTCATCATTGATGTACTGGTAATAAACATGACCCAAAACTAATGTGTGTGTATTTAATAATGCATTTTATAACAGACTCAGGATCAAAGGACTGAAATAGATTAGTTTTGCCAGGCTGTCTTTCTAGACTGCTTACTTCCTTTAGGGTGGTAGCCTATCATTCCCAATTACCCACCAGTTACTAAGACACAGGAAAATGCAAAAGTGAGACAATCTCTTATAGCACTGATGTCAATGCTTGGATTTTTGGATTATGTAGACATGATTTGTGTCCTGTCTCTGTTATTTACTCTTGTATTATGTGAACTTGGATAAGCTGAGATCTCCAAATCTTATGGGTAAAATTTCCTAATTTGTAAAATTAGAGTGACAATAGTATTCTAAATAATCTAACCCAAAATACACTGACATAATGTATGAAAAGCAGAGTAAGTGCCCAAATACTAATTCTATTTTTAAAATGATTTTAGGTAGCAACATTATATAAGAAATAAGTTGGAAAATGAAAAGAAGATCATAGCATTGATGTCAAATTTTATAGAGAGATGATCTGTTTCATACTCTACGCTAAGCTAAATTAGAGTAGGAGAATACTTATTACAAATGTCTAGTAATTAAAGAGAGACAAATGAAAATAGTTATAATTGTGATAGCATAAATGAGGGAAGAGATATGAGAAATACTACATACACATACATGCATCTAATTTGTGAATTAGTAAATAGGGCAGGTAAGTAGAAGAAAGGTTTATTGAATTCCTGGGCTTAAAGACAAAAAAGAATGGAAGTGCCATTTACTAGGAAAGGGGAATTCTGATAAAAGCCAGTTTAATGTTGTATCTATGTTGGAAGAGGAATAATTTGTTCAGTTTGGGTTAGCCACAGTTAGGATAACCATTGAAATTCTATAGTACATTTCTTTCCTGTTTTACAATTTTACCTTCAGTTAATTGAGGCCAATATTGCAGCCTATTTGTACTTAAACCTAGAGTCAATGATACATGGTGCTCTATAATGATGGACGGATAAATGGTGGGCAGGAGTCAAGTGATTTCTGGGACACCATGTGAATGAAGATCCATTCTAAGTGAAATCACACAGTTCCCCTAGTGGGCAGCCTAATTTTTTCCTTGTTCTGCAGAAACTCAACCTTCCACTAGAGGAGGTAAACAAAGCAGCAACTAAACTGTGGGGAGGTAAAAAACTTGCATTTGACTTTTGAATGCCTTTTCTCAGGGAAAAGGCTTTCATCTAAAAATGCGGATTTTCTTGCTACTTTTTCTGGAACAAGGTAGGAGTCTCTCTCATGGGGTGTCTGGTGTTAATATTAATGTTCAGTGGAAGTAGAAAGAGACTTCCTCTCCAGAGGTTCTGGAGCCATCAAAGAATGAGCGGCAAGTATTAGATGAGAGGATGGTAAAATAAGAGTGACCATGTTACAGGAAGATAATGTGATATAAAAATAAATAAAGCAGGCACATTCCTCATTTAAGTTATTGCCTGTCTGTCCTCAAGTCTGTCTACCTTCACAGGTCTCTATCTCTCTTAAAGCAGGCTCTGTGTGTGGTATTCTCCTCTATCAAAAGCCAAACAGGAACATATGTCAACATGGGACCTCCATGAAAATCGAATGTCAGGTTGATAGCCAAGTCTCCATGATGTACTGGTACCGTCAGTTCCCAGGACAGAGCATGATGCTGATTGCAACTGCAAATCAAGGTGCTGAGGCTACATATGAGAGTGGATTTACCAAGGACAAGTTTTCCATCACTCGTCCAAATCTAACATTTTCAACTCTGACTGTGAAAAACATGAGTCCTGATGACAGCAGCTTCTATCTCTGCAGTGCTGAAGACACAGTGCTGGATGCAGATCAGAGATCTGAGCAAGAAACTCAGCTCCCTCCTACTCAGATCCCCTCAGATGAGCCTGAGGACCCTGCCAAAGTGGGATGGGAGGAAACCACAGCTGCTGAACAGAAAGCTTCTTATGTGTTTGTGGGTGGGCATTAGTGTGAATGGTAGACTAGGAATAGAGAGAAACTCTGTAGGACCCACTGGAAGTTTCCATCACAAACAGGAAAAGTGGCTTCTGGGAGGGAGCCTGAGGTTAAAATTTCATCCCGAAGTCTTGCTTAGAAATAGTTAAGATGATCAGATACAGTTTGCCTTCAGGTGATGAAATCAGAAATACCCTTTAACTGTTTACCTCATGCTGCCTGTTTTCTATCATTTTATCCCAAAGCTATATGATAATCTTTTCTCTATCATAATATATTTTGAAAGGACTTTAATAATGTTCATATGATGCTAGTTTATTACATTGATGGCATGGTGATTGTTCTAAGTACATAGGACTATAAAATACTCTAGGAGCCCAAATTGACACATACATGTAAAACCAATGTAAGATTTGCAAAAGTTCAGGGACCTGCAACATTGCTGAGCCTTGGAATACCTCCAGAGGACTGGGATGTGTTGGACTACCTCTTCTGAAGTGGGATATAAACTCCTGCATGTTATAGCATCCAGCAAGGAGAAAGAGACACAATTCTTAGTCCCTTTGACCAGGGAATTAAACTTTGGATATACTACATGTGATTGTCCTATTCTGGTTCCATTTACCATTAATTTGTAAAGCTGGGACCAGTGGAAGAGAGATTCAATAGCAGAAAAAAAAATCTGTGATGAAGCTTGGGAACAGACCAAAGAGACAGTTTTTCTTAAGAGCCTGCAGAAGATAGGGAAGCTCTATATAGCCCCATATCTTGTAATCCCCAATAAAACACTCAAGACTATGTGAAGCAATTTCACTGTACACAGGTTACCACTTCAGCTCTGCATCTTTGCCTTTGGTTTTACTACTTGCATGTGTTCTTTGAGACAGAAAACTCCCACACACATGCATAAGTTACATCAAGAAAGTTTTCTAGTTTTAGATAGGCAGCAATGGACAAAACAGGCCTGGAATTTAAGGAGAACTCATCCCCTGAGGCTCAGCTATGCAGTGCAAAATGAATGGAACACCATCTGTAATGTCTCACTTACACCATGCTGAGGAACCCTGGTTGTATACCCCAGGGGAGACAAGACATGCTGGGATACAGTGTGGAAAGAGATCCTGAAGGAGTCCTCAAGGAGGACTCTATTACAGTTCAAGTTGTCTTCCTTATCACAGGATGTTGTATTCAAAGAACATTCTACAGTCCTTGAAAACTATAAGTGATAAAGTGGGGAGCACTGGGTTGTTCTCAAGCCATGTGGAGAACTGTCTCATAGGGAGATGCAGTATAGGTGTAAAGAAATATTCTCTGCCTGCCAATAACTTTTCTACCTTAGGAAAGTTGCTGCTGGCTCTTCATTGAATGACTCTTCACAACGTTCAGATCCAGGTGTTAATTGATTAACAAAACTATGAAGTTGGGCCTGCAGAGGGCAGGTCATACCATTGTTAAAATTTTTAAAAAGTATGATTGAGACAGACCAAAGTGTAGCTGGAAGAAGGAACAATTCAATTTCAAGAACATGTCTCAGAGCCTCATGGTACCGATATCTGTTTTCCCTTTCACTCTCAATCTACACTCAGTCTCATGGAAATTCATTTCCAGATGAAAAACACGGGCCTCTTTTCTGGATGGATCTGTCTGTTATTCTGGAATGAATATTAGTCTATCACACATGTGATTTTGAAAGATAGTAATGAAGGGATACCCTCTGAAGGTCAAAACTTCAGTTCATAAATCTAGTTGTTTGCCTTTTATAGGAGAGATGGCCTGCAGTGTAGATCAGTCTTGGGTTCAACTTTCTTTCATTTTATCATGCAGTTTCTTTATCTTTTCAGTCATACTTTTCCTCTTTTTTGCTTTTTCCTGCTGTGTGCAGGAAAATTTCTTTAGAATCATTGCTCAGTTCATTAATTCACACCTCTGAGCCAATAAGCCATTTATCCTTTCAGCTGGCTTTATTTAAATTAAATTAATCTTAATTTCTCGTAAGTCTACTTGGGACATTTACAAGTATAGTGGCCGTTTTTTAAAATACTGTATTTTTGGATTATTTTATTTCTTTAAGGATATTAAATATTTATTTGGAACTTTTGTTTGTTGATGCATTTTTACATCCAATTTTTTGCTTGTAGCAGTTGCTAACTCTCACCCCTGGTGGCTTATTTCCTTGTGCATTATGTAATTTGGTGTTGTGAATTCATCTTTGGGAATTCTTCAAATTCTGTATTAAAAAAAGAGGTGAAATTATCCGTATATTGTGCCTGTTAGAAAAAAATAATTAAAGTAACTACTATCTAAAATTGTATTTCACTGTAATACTTGACATTTTTGTCATTACCATTCCTTTTTAAGTATTAGAGATTATCATCCTTATAAAATTTTATCATTAAAAGAGTTCCTCTTTTTTCTCTTTCTTCTTTCCTTCCTCTTTCTTTTTCCTTCCTTTCTTTCTCCTTTCTTCCTCTCTCTTTATTTCTCTCCTTTCTTTCTTTCTTTCTTTCTTTCTTTTTCTTTCTTTCTTTCCTCTTCCCTTTCCTTCTCCTTCTTCTCCCTCTTCTTCTTCCTTTTGAAGTTCTGGGGATTAAATCCAGGACCTTATACATAGCACACAAGTGTTCTACCATTTGAGTTATATACCCAACCCATGGTTTTAAACTTTTATTGATAGATAGCATCTTGGTAAATTTTCAGGCTAGCTATGAACTAGTGATCCTCCTGCCTAAGTCTCCTGAGCAACTGAGATTACCAGCATGCAACACAATGTCCAGCTTTTTTTCTATTTTAATTGCATTAAATGTGTGTATTATTGTAAAATGTGCAGATTACTAAGGTAAGGAAAAGTAAAATCACTCAGTTGTAATAAAATTAGCCCATATGATATATAGGATTTTAGATTTTATTCTATGAGCCAACAATAGTTCATAAATACCATTTCACATCAAAATATGCTTACATTAATTTTTCCAAGAATATTTCATTGTGTTGTTGACCATCCTTCATGACGTAAGTATTTATAATCAAATGGCAAGGTAAATATCCACATACTGCATGACAGAGCAATTTAATTGAAAAGCAATTGATATTGTGTGTTGATTTATTTTTCTTATAGATTTAGATGGGAATAATGAAAGTCTCCTTATCCCACTTCACATGGCTCCTTCTCATTGTGGTCTTACATCATCTCCCTAAGAGAACTTTCCTGACCACCATAACTACACTTTATGCCATATTACCACTAAATCTGTTTCCATAATATCTAATCACTATTTTTCTGAAGTAAAGGATATATATATGTATATACATGTATATGCTTATTTAATATATATAACCTATATACATTATATATGTTTATTTTCTGCCTTATATATCTGTGTGGATGTACATACATACATAAACACTATGAATCAAGAACTTATTCTTTTTTTTTTATTGCTATTTTCTTACAGCCTAGAACTCTTGGAATATTTCAGAAACTCAATATTTATTCAGTACATAAACATGACATAAAAAACAGAAAACTTATCAAGCAGTAGTGGACTTCCCTAGGGAAAAACTCCATAAGGCTTTCACAAAGTCTTCTGAGTTTAGAAAAATCTGATACCATACAAATATTAACTACACTGTTCTAGTACAGAGAAACTAGAAATGTCAAACTCTGCATTTTAACAAACTTTGTATTTGAATAAAGTATACAATAGTATGTGTCAATTTCCCTCTGCTGCCTTTCCCAATATTGGGAGATGGAACAGATGTTATGGTTCTGTACAGGGAAAGTCCAGAACCTGTATAAACACAGTGGTCTTGTGGTTCAAGGTCTTCAAATTAGAACTGTGCCAGTATCTACGTGGACAAAGCACTCACTTCTAAGCCTTGGAAGCCTTCTGAAGATTCTTTTGGCTAAGTTGACTTAGAGGAGATCCATTCATCTGTTGTCTGCCTTCCGAATGAATGACATATTGCATACTTTTCAAGAAACAAATGAGTGGAGGGAGCCAGCTAACAAAGTGGACTTGCCACCAAACTTGGTTTCTAGGGTTCAATCTAGATAAATTAAGATTTACAAAAATAGATAAATGCATTTAGTATTAAATTCTGTGTATCAGGGAAGGCATGCAGGCTGCACTTAAACTAACCCATAAGGGGACTCCTCCAGGACCCTACACTGACTTGCTCTTGCTAACTCTCCAGAAGATTCCTGTAAACTATGCAGTTCAAATAGGCCCAATAAGAAAGTAGACAAGGAGTGGCTGTATTGTAAAAAGAAAATCCATTATTATACTACACAAAACAATCTATTTTTAATAACTATAAAGCCTCAATTGATAAAGACTTTTCTATTCACCTTTATCCTAGCTATTAATTCTGAAGGACAAATAAAATATGCAAATGGTACTTGTTGGAGCATGAAATTTGCATGTCTCTCATGGTTTCATGGTAGGGAGGGGAGACAGGGAAGGGAGACAAGACTAGGCTTCTAGGCCTCCGCCTCACTCCTCAGATTTCTCTAGATCATACAGAATTCCCGCTTCTCTATCTAGATACAGTGAATCAGGGGACAAGATATTCAAAATAATTTATTGTATGAGATATATAGCTTAGAAAAAATAATGGAGGAGAAAAGGGAATTTGGGGTTTTGGGGGAAATCAGCCTAGAATTTCACAATCTGGCAATAAAGTGATAAAGGACAGTAGGGCCCAAGGAGGAGCTCACTAAAAGTGAGGCGATATACCTTATATGCAGACATTTGCATAAGAAAGAGTTATAAAAAGAAGACAATGATGTAGAATCTGAAAAAATTATCTACTTTCCGAATACCGAGAGATAAGAAAGACTCTACTATGTAGCAACACATTGGGAAAAGAATATAGTTCTTAGAGCAAGAGTTTCTGGTATCATCTCTGAATTCCTAATCCAAGTGAACCCATAGAAGTCACTTAGCCTCCCAGACTTAGATTCTTCATCTGTAAAAAGTAGCTATCAGTGTCTGTTACAGACTACCTCAGTGAGGCAGTACAAAGAATCAGATGAAAGAAAGGGAAATAGTTGGTCCATAGTAGAGCATGCAGGTCTAGGGTGGGGCTAGCATGCTTCAATCTCATCTTTCCAATTTATGGCTGCATGAACTTAAACAAGTTTCTTCACCTACATAAAGCTCATTTCATCATCTATAAAATGGAAAACCCCATAAGTAATTGTGATGATAAAATGGAAAAAAAATTCCTTGAAAGATTTAATCATTTAATCAATGTTTAGTATAGAATAAACACACAGAAACTATGTCTTTACTATAGTTAAGGAACAGTGGCTCGATATGCTAAACACTAAATGAAAGCCAGGAGAATGTCTTAGAGAAGTACATAAAGGAATCCATGGTTTAGAAGGAACACTAACAGATACTGCATAGACATCCAAATTCAGTCCAGGAAGCTGGACCTAAACTCACTCTACTAATTTGAGTCTGAAGTATAAGGCTGCATTTGCAGCCTGTAAAATGATTTTTCCTAAGGCCTGAAACTTTGAGACAACTACAGGAGATAGTAGGGAATACACTGGAACATACAGGTATAAGGAACCACTTCCTAAGTAGAACTCAAAAAGTATCTAAGAGAAAGAATGAACAAATGGGATTGCACCAAACTAAGAGGCTCCTGGTCAACAAAATAAACAGTCACTAGACTCAAGAGATGGCACAGAGAATGGGAGAAAATCTTTACCAGCTATTCATCTGATAAGGGAATAATATCAAGAATATACAGGCAACTCAGAAAACTCAACCCCTAAAGAATCAACATCCCAATGAAGAAATGGGCACATGAATTGAACAGGGAATTCTCAAATGAAGAGGTATAAGTGACCAGTAAATACATGAAGAAGTGTTCAACTTTCCTGGTTATAAAAAAATGCAAGTAAAACATTTAGATTTCATCTCATGCCAGTTAGCATGGCCATAATCAAGGGTAATAACAACAACAAATGCTGGTGAGGATGTGCCAAAACAAGGACCCTTATACACTGTTGGTGGGAATGCAAATTACTATAACCACTATGGAAAGCAGTATGGAGATTCCTAAAAAAGCTAAAGATAGAACTGCAGTGATACTGCTCCTGGGCACCTATCCAAAAGAATGTAAGATGGGATACAATAGAGACACCTACATACAGACGTTCATCACAGCACTATTCACAACAGCCAAATTTTGGAAACAACCCAGGTGCCCTACAACTGATGAATGGGTCAAGAGAATGAGGTATATATACACAAAGAAGTATTACTCACCCATAAGGAATAATGGCATGTGGTTTGGAGGTAAATGGATGTAATTGGAAGACACCATGTTAAGTGAAGTAAGCCAAGCTCACAAAGACAAAAGCCATATGTTTTCTCCCATTTGTGGAAAACAGATCCAAAAGATAAACATGTATACAAAAATAAGTATAATCATATACAAACTCATATACAGAACATGTTTGTAATGGTGGAACTACTCTATGGAACATGGAAAAAGGAGGAAAGGAAAAGAGAATGATAGAGCATCAGTAATGTAAAACGTAACATCTGTGAAGGTAGAGAGTATAAGAATGTGTACTGAAAGCTGTTAAAATGGGGGTGGGAGGTAAAGAGGTAAGGGAAAGTAATGGAAGGGGTTGATTGGACCAAAGTAAAATATTCTAACAAGTGGGTATACATTGAGAAACCCCATTTGAACATCAAATGAAATATTAATAATGAAAGACAGGACTGTAAAATAGGTACAGTGGTTACTCAGGAGGCAGAGATCAGGACTATCATGGTTCAAAGCCGGCCCAGGCAAACATTTAGTGAGACCCTATCTTGAAAACACACATCATAAAAAAGGGCTGGTAGAGTGGCTCAAGGTGTACGTTCTGGGTTCAAATCCCAATACTGAAAAAAATAAGTACAGTAGCAGTACTAGTGGGATATGGGACAGTGAACAAAGGAGATGAAGGTAAGGAAATATGGTTGATGGACTTTATATCCCTATATGAAATAGAACAAAGAAACTTCTTGCAATTGCCTGAAGCAGGGCAGGGAGAGGGTTGTGGGGAGAGACAATGGGGACAATGTAACTGATGTAAAATATAAGCCTAAATAGAATTGTCACTGTGAATCCCTTCCTGTATAATGAATATATTGTAATAAAAAAATTTTAAAGATAATCCTTATACAGACTTTAAAAAAAAAAAGCTTTCTTAGGCTTTTAGTAGGAACACAAAATAGGTTGATCTTCAGCTTTTCAGATTTCCTATCTTTTGCCAAGGATCACTTTTCTGTGGGCCCCCTACACAGTGCACACTACAATGTACAGATACTAAACAAAAGTGTGTCTTCATCCTCTAAATCAGTAGTGAAATGAACACTCCACAGTAAGGAAAAACAGCCACATCTTAAGTGATATCACAGAAAAATCAACTATTATGCAGATGTCACATGTTTCCTCAGACACCACCAGCCCTCTGTGAGCACAGAGAACTGTGCCCCTGTGTTAGAAATGGGTGAGATTGTTCAGGAGACAGGTCATGTAAGGCTGTAATACAAGGTGCCAAGAGAAATATTAATTCAATGCTCTATATTTTCCAGGAGGGCAACTGCCAGTAGAAAAGTGAGGATATAATTTGAATTCTGGTGACTGCCAGCTTGTCCTCAGCAACTCTTTAAATCTTATCTGCAGCAAATACTACATTTCATACTTCCATGTCTTCTGATATACTTAATGCAGTGCTGACATTTGTGATATCTTCCTGAGCAAGAAGGAATCCTTCAGAGTATCAGTCTCTTCTTTGGTAAGTAGAAATAATTCACTTCTATATGACTCATATTAAACAATTTGGTGAAAATTCAAAGTGTGAAGCTCAACACAAAGGAAAGGTAGCATACTGCTAATGTTCATGTGAGCTTTCTTGAAAATCTTTCAGTCATTGTGCAAGTATAATAGTATTGGTTCTTAGTTATCAGGCCATCAGGCATTACATAAGGTACACAGTAGAGAGGTGAGAGCCCTGAGCAGATCACTAGTGTGAAGAAGCTGGCATGCCATACAATGGTTGGTCCCAGAAGATACTTTCTGAACTCCACACTCCCCTTATCTCTCTTTATCTAGTATTGTATAGTGAACTCACCCATGACTCTACTCACTCATTGCCCCTCACAAAACATGAGCCCAATTAGTTGCAAAAGAGATACTTTGCATACTGTAAGAAGGCATTTTTCATGGGGTCACATAATTATATACAAATAAACACAGTTTATGGCTCCATAAATTGTGGGGCTGAAACAAAGTGGCCATGGCACTGGATCCAAATAGGAAGATTTATTCTATACTGAAATTAGCATAATAGTCTGCATTTAAAATGAAAAATTCCAGAATCCAGTCATCCAGGTGGCACACTTCTGTAATACCAGCTTAAGGCCATTCCGGGCTACACAGAGAGCTCAAAGATAGTCTGGAATTTATAGGGAGACCTTTTGTCAAATATAAATACATAAATAAATTATCAGATAAAAGAAAAGAAAATTCCAGAATCCCCTTCCCCCCAAAGTCTTTGTTATTGAGTATGGAGCTGGAATTTCTAACAAGATATGAACCTCTCAACTGCTACTTCCTACCTACTACAGGTAAAAAGCCAGTTTGATTTTTGCACAAACTTATTCTAATATCCAAACTGGGGCATATTATTTTAGTTTAGGGTGTCTACTCCTAAAAAACAGGGCAGTTTTCATGATCTTCAGTGCAGATTATGAAGTCAACTGAAACCCTGCTTTAAGAGGATGGATATTCTGAGCAACGAGAGGGGAAAATGTACTGACATTGAGGAAAAGTAGGAATGTGGTGCTTGTCTTCCATCCACCTACATTATTGAGTCAGCTTCTACTTAACCTTCACCTCCCCTCCTTCAAAGCAGTGGCCATGCATAAACCTTGATGGAAAGAAAAGCCAGAAGAAATTCCAAGTTTCCTAAGGAACTCTGATTCTCCCTTCTCATCATCCCTAGATGATACAGTTCTGATCCTCAAGCATTTGGGTTTGGCTTTCTTATTCAGGGATTACATTGGAAGGAAAAGTCTTCATGCTAATTGATGCATGACTTAGACAACACTTCTGTGCTCTCATGGGGCCTACAGAATCCTGAACCAATCTCTTTTCTTCTAAGCCTAAATCAGCCCATATGTGTGCATGGGGGGTTATATTTGTCCATTTTTCTCATCCTAGCAGTCTTTCATGAACTAGCTTCTCTTTTTCTTGGCCCTTAGATATTTTCTTATCACCTCAAGGTCACCTAGTCACTGAGTGATCAAACATAGTAGAACTGATAGAAGTCTGCAGGATGGGAAAAGAAACAGGTGTGTTTGTGCAGGAAAGAACAATGACCCTCTAGAACACATGACCTTCTGTCCATCTTGGGAGTTATAAAAACAGACTTCTTCATACTGCTGTTACCTTTTTGCCACCATGAGTGCACTCCTGATCTTGGCCCTTGTGGGAGCTGCTGGTGAGTTCCATACCTTGCCTTGCTGTGAGCCCTGTCCTCCACTATCCAGAAAGACATAGGTCTTATTATCAGTCCTTTCTCTCCTGCCTTGCCTGAAAAATGAAATTTTCTTTAATCTAGCCAGCACCCCATCTTGCTATATTTCTGGTGTCTCTGTCAATCCCACCTCTCGCCCATTCTCTATGATTCTACTTTAATAAACACCCTTCATCCAATTCATGGTTATGGTCAGGGTGACTGGAAAGGGAAGGCAGATGGATATGGATCATGAAATTATCCAGACCTTGTGTCCATACCCGGAAAACCCAGAAAATATCTATGCAGGATACCTAGTTATGGGCCCTGCAGACTCTGTCACTTGGAAAACTGACAACCATAGTTGACAATGTATTCTTAGATTACTTAGTCATTGTGATCATTGGGAATTCTAATTAGCAGGTAACCAACATTGGGTTAAGGGCTCCACCCTCCAACATCCTGCTGAATTGCTATCTACTTTACTATCTCTATTCAAGCTGCCTTACCTGTTGATGATGACAAGATCGTCGGAGGTTACACCTGTGCAAAAAATTCCGTTCCCTACCAGGTGTCTCTGAACTCTGGCTCCTCCCACTTCTGTGGTGGCTCCCTCATCAATAGCCAGTGGGTGGTGTCTGCAGCTCACTGCTATAAGTCGTAAGTGCTGGGCCCTTGACTGCAAAGTCCACAGCCTGGGCCCTCTTAGAGGAATGTGGAATCAGTTCAGGCAAGTTCTGATGCTTTGTAGTGGATAGGAAAGTTCTTGGAGAAGAGATGAAGTTGCAGGCAGCAGCTAATTTACTTGAGCTGAGGGTGAAAAGAAACACAGATGAGGAAGCCTCTCATACCCCAAAAATCCCACACTATAGCAAAGACTATGGGACATAAATGCAAAGTAGCATTATTTTGTTGTGGTAAGGACCAGTTAAGAAGGATGGCAAGGAACATATGGAGATATAATACCTTGATGTTCTATCTATCTGGGCAATAAACTCCAAGTTACTAAAAAGAAGTTTGAATATCTGTGAGTTTCAAACCTTCTTATTTATGCTGATTCCACTGTGTAGACATAGCAGAGAAGTTTTGCCTCCAAAAGGGATTCCTAGTCTTGCGTGTGCATCAGAAGGGTTCCATAATCAAGAGGGTTGTGAACACACCAGTTGTTACCTCCAAGACCAAGATTTTGATTCAGTAGGTCTAGGGTGGGGATCAAGAATATAAATTCTGACAAGGACCCAGACAATACTGCTGCTGAAGATCCCAGAGCCACTTTGAGCCCCACTGTATTAGATGCCACATAACAATACTGCTTATGAGAAAAGAAGAGAGAAGCAAAGGTCCCTACATGTAGTCAGCAAATGCAGAGCATGAGAGAAAATACAATGAGGGAGCTATAGGTCTACACATTGATGGTCCATCACATCATACTCTCCATGCCACCTATCTCCAAAGCAAACAGGGCCTGGGTATAAGGCCAGCATTCAAACAACACCCTTTAGCTGTTTTTTGATGTTGCTGGGTCCTCATCCCAAGCCTCCAAGTTGCTCATGAGCAGGGAGATTGAGAACCTGGTGTGTCTTGAACAATGTATACCAATCTACCATGCTTCCTCTCCCTACAGCCGTATCCAGGTGAGACTGGGAGAGTATAACATCAATGTTGTTGAGGGAAATGAGCAGTTTATTGATGCTTCCAAGATCATTCGCCACCCCAGCTACAACTCAAATACCCTGGACAATGACATCATGTTGATCAAGCTCTCATCAGCTGCAACCCTCAACTCCCAAGTGGCCACTGTATCTCTGCCCAGCTCCTGTGCATCTACTGGAACCCAGTGTCTCATCTCCGGTTGGGGCAACACCCTAAGTTCTGGTGGTGAGTGGGACCCTTCACCTTCCCAATCCCCTCTTCCCTTTTCCAGAACCAAACATGTCTCCAAGTTTTAATCCATTTACTTCTAGCCTGCAAATAGATTCAAAAGACTACAACATACAAGACTCTATATTGGGAACCAAAGAAATACAAAGTTCCAGGCATTTTTTTCCCTACAACCTAAACAAAACCAATATAGAAGTTTCCATTATTTCTTCCAGGAATGAATTTCAAAAATAGTCATTCTGAGAACTAAAACCTGTTGTTACCTTTGGGTATTAATCTCTTTGGGTCCTCTCCATGGTTGCCCACCATTTTGAGCACTAAGTTATTGTTTCTCAGTCTGTTTGATTTATATGTCTTCTTTCCTTTATCAATTTTTGTCCCTCAAAGTCTCCAACCCAGACCTGCTGCAGTGCCTGGACGCTCCTGTGCTAAGTAATGCTAACTGTGTAGCCTCCTACCCTGGACAGATCACCAGTAACATGATCTGTGTTGGCTTCCTCGAGGGAGGCAAGGATTCCTGCCAGGTGATTTGAGCAATTCACACACCGTGTCCCCTGCACATACCCAGGCCCCACATGGGAGGGCATATTTGAATGCCCAAGTGCGAGGTTGGGAGCTCTATGCAGTGTATCCAATGATAAATGAAGGAGGCTCATTTGAGTCATGTCTTCTCTTTAGTAAGAGCAGAGAATGGGCCACCATGGAAAAGACATGGAACCACATGGCAGGCTAGCTAGGGGTCTTAAGTTTAGAGTAAGTGTTGCCACATTTCTCTTCAAGTTCTTCTTATACAACTTTTTCCTTTTCTCCAGGGTGACTCTGGTGGCCCTGTAGTATGCAATGGAAAGCTCCAGGGAATTGTCTCCTGGGGCTATGGCTGTGCTCAGAAGAACAAACCTGGAGTGTACACAAAGGTGTGCAACTACGTGGACTGGATTAAGTCCACCATTTCTGCCAACTAAAGACCCCAATTAGCCATCACTAAGCCAATAAAATAAATCTGTCCTCACTGCCTGTGTCTGTGCCTGCTTTGTCTAGCCCTTTACTTTGGAAAGAATGCTGTACAATCTGAGGTCTATAGACTTTTTCTGTGAGAGATGTGAAAAGTCCCCTAATTACCAAAATATATACCACAGAGTAAGTAATAACTCAGCAGTATATGACATGATGGTATTTGAAAATAATAATAGGGGATAAATAGGGGCTCTTTTCTCATGAAAACATACATTTTAGAAACCTAATGTTCATACAAGAGTATTCCTCCAGTGGATTTTTAGGGTTTTTTTGGGTTTTGCATCTATTAGGGTTTGAACTCATGGCCTTGCACTTCCAGAACTTTTTGCCTCTGTAGGTTATTTTTCAGAGAGGATCTAGCAATTTTTCTCAAGGTTACCTTTGAGCTGCATTATTCCTACATATGCCTCCCAATAGCTTGGTTGATGGATGCATGCTACCACTGCATGGTTTATTCATTGTAGATTGGATCTCACTAACTTTTTGCCTTGGCTGGACTTGAACTGAAATCATTCTAATTTCTACCTGCCAAGTAGCTGGGATTACAGGTATGAGCTACTACATCTAGCCATCAGTGGTCTTTTGAAGGTGCTAAAATTTGCATAGGTTAAATGGTTGGCAAGACCTTCTTTGATTATGGTGGAACCTCTTTGTACTCAACATATCTAAGGAAACCTCAGCATTAACTACCCTGACTTCTTCTGAGTCCCCTCACACACTTGTTCTTACCAACCTAGATATCCTCCCTCATAGAAGCAGAGGACCTACTTAGAGAAAAACTTGCTAGCCATTTCTCAACCATCTCCTTATGTGTTTCCCTCTACCACGCTCCTGAGAAAGCTGCCTTTTCTCCACTCCACAAAATAGTATTAATATGAATGCACCATACTGAAAAATTCATGGGCATTTTCACACTTGGTTCACCCACCTTTTAGAAGTCACTATTATTCCAGTGACAGAAATAAAAGATCAGAGGTTCAGAGAAGGTTATTAGCTTACCAAGGTGGTATGCAAAGCAGATGATAGATATGTAGATTTCCTCTCCAATTGTCTGCATGCTCTCTACTTGGCCTTCCAGTCTCTCCTGCTATACCTATGGTCTGAGATGACATTTTTTTTTTAGCAAACTTGCCTCCTTAGAAAGTATTTTTATTAACTTGAGCCTTGTCAACAGACACACTAATCTTAATATTTTGTTCTATTTCTTTATCAATTGGTGTAACCCTGAACAAGTGACACAATTTCTATATGCCTTAATTTTTAACATATAAAATGAACATAATAATGAGATTTTAAAATGAGGGCTTCATGTAAAAAGGAGATTTTTTGTCCACTTCATGTTGTGACTACTGGAGAAAAATAGTTAATGTAGTTATGACCTAAATTTACTTTTCACTATATTATTTGGCATTTTCCCATTATTAATTCCTTTTTAAAGGTTAGGTATTATCTTCCTATTGAAAATGTTGTATACTGTTAATATTGGTCTAGTTTCTGCTATTTTATTTACCTAAAATACACAATTCATTGTAAAATAATCTTATTATTAAAGTGAGAAAGATATTAATCACCAAATTATAATGAAATTAGACCATATGATATATTTTGCTTTGGAATTTACATACTTAACTCAATGTTATTTTATAGATACCATTTCATATAAAAATATATGCTAACTCAAATAAGAATATTCCATTGTACTGATTACTAGTCTTCATGTCAACAATTTTCACCATCAAACCAATCACCAGGTAAATATCCATATACCAGATGATAGAGGTTTTCAATTTGAGAAAGCACTGCTGTGTGTGTTTATTACTTTCTTACAGACTCAGAAGGGATGAGTCTTACCTACTCATCCCACCTACACATGGCTCCTTCTCATTCACATCTTTAATCAAATATCATCTCCCTAAAGAGTAATTTTCTAACTATAGTATCTGCACACTATATTCAATAACAGCTTTATGCTATTTTAATAGCACCTAGACACTAATTTTTAAATAAGTAGCATATATATAATTATATATTTTCTGACTTTCATATGTGTACAGCCACACATATGTGGAAGTATTCAGATACACACACATAAATAACATTTCTATCTTCCTTATTTCTCTTTTCTAACATCCGAGAACTCTTGTTATATTACAGGAATTTGATAACTATTTATTGAGTACATAAACATGACTTCACTGAGGAAAATTTGGAGAGAGACTCCAAGACAAGGTTTAGAATCAGCCAGTCATCCCTATCTTCCCTGAAGGATAGACTCAAACAAAAGGAAAGCAGCTAACTTTTGAGGGAGCTGTGAATAGAAAAAGTTTCATTGTGAACAGAGACTTGAAAAAACTAAAGACTTAATACAGTCCAACAGAGGGATAAAAACAGTGCTAAGCACAGACCATGGGATGGTGGCAGGGAAGAAGGTGGGAACAGAGCCAAGAGAAGGAAAAAAGAAGAAACTCAGAAAACGCAATTGGCACAGGCCTCAGCACCATGCACAAGTGCAGTCTAAATATACAAGGTACCTGCAATCTGGATAGCATACTGGTACCAGGAAAGTTATCTTTTCTTCCCAACTTATAATCATGATGTTTCACCAGGAAACCATCTTAATAAAGTTTTAGCTTAGCTTACTGCTTTGGGAGAATGGGGTCCCCACACTTCCTTTTCTCTAAGCAACTACAGCAACAAGAATCCATATTCGGATCCAGTTAGTATTGGCCCAGGTAGTCAATGTGGTCTCCCTATGAGCACCAGGTTGGTCTGGAACTACATATGTAGCCTAAACTAGCCTCTGACTCATAATCCTTCTATCATAGCCTCCCAAGTGCTAGAATTAATGGTTTCATTTCTTCTTTTAATATTTAATTTTAGGATGCTTTTTTCCCAGTTCTCAATGTCTTATATCCCCTCCCCTTTTTGAAGCTTTAATTGGACCATATACCTATCTTCTTTCCTCTTCTTTCTCATTTTCCCCTTTCAAAATATTATTCTTTTCTTCCATTTGTATTTCCAAAATATTATATACATTTTGTTTTTCTGCAAACAAAAAAAATGAAGAAAACTACTACATCATCAATAACCACAGAAAAGAAACTGTCAAATATAATTTAGCATAAACTATCAAATTAAAATTGATAAAGATTTGAGTAACAATAAAAGAAGGAAATAATGGAGAGGTCATGGGAAATAAAAAGTAAAATCAGGTTAAATAAAACAAAAGGAAAAGAATGTAGTGAAGAGAATAGAAGAAGAGACTAAAAATCTGATTAGACAATGAAGAAGAATTCATAAATAAAATTAGGTAAAAGTAAGAAGAGGAATAAAAAAACTAAAACATAAAGTTTCTTCAAAAATAAAGTAAGGTAAATGAAGTACTAAGAAATCATAGCGAAGAAGAAGGAAAAGGGGAAGGAGAATAAGGAGAAGCAGAATTAGAGAAACTTATTTCCCGGTCCTCTAATATTGGTATTCACCAGTTCTTCCCCTCTGCTTTCAACTTAATGCTTGCTGCTGTGGGCAGGTTAGTCAAGAGTCAGTTTTCAGCTTCAGCTACCCATTCATTTGGAACACTTCCCATGTTTGCATTAGTGGCTGCTGATAACCACAAAGAGTGTTATAGCCTGCAGTCTAGGTGATATCCCATTCACTTCTGAGGCCCCCAGTTTGTGTACTCATTGGTGGCAAACATCCAGGCCCAGGGGTGTCCCCTGAGTTTCTCAGACAGTAGGGGAAAAATCAGCTCTGATTTCTGCACTGGAGGGGGACACCTAACAGAACCAAGACTCTCATTATTCCCATACCCCACCCAGTAGTAGGCCAACCTGTAGGAGGGAGGAAGCTTGGAAATCCAGCCATCTGTAGGCTTTGGGCTCAGAGCTTTCAGTACATCCATCAGTGAACCACATCCACAGTTCTGGAAGCCAATCAATCCATGGATCATGGGTTCAGATATCAGAACAAATGACTTATACAGTTCGGTTCTTCTTTTAGTGACATGATATTTGCATGTTCTTCATAGCTTCAAAATTGGGAGAAAGTGTCAGAGAAGGAGGATGGTACACTCCAATTAAATGATAAGCCATTAACGTCTGGGAGTCTGCCTCAAACTTCATGTTTTCCCGGATCACACGAAGTTTTCACCATCCAGATTCAATGAATCCTGTGTGAGGTACTCTAAAAATAAGTTCTTATTAGATGAGGTGAAATTATAATGTGGAAGAGATATATAGGAGAGAAAATAATGATGGAAGCAAGGAAAGGATCTGGGAATTTGTGGGGAAGGTAGCCTGAATATTCCATATCTAGTTAGAAGACTCTGATTCCCAAGCAGGTGTTGACTAAACACTGAGAAGAAATACATGGTATGTGGGCATTTGGATAAGGAAGAATTATAAAAGAAAACAATAAGGCAAAATCTAAAAACAATCTGCTTTTCAGATTATTGAAAGGCCAGAACATATGGAAAGGACCTTAGGGACATCTGACTTCCTCCTCGGCAAATCTTCTAGATGCCAATTGACCAAATCCCAAACTTCACAACACCTTCCATGTCTTCTGGTAGCCTTGTTGTAGTGCTACCATTTTAGTTATCTTTCTGTGCAAGAAAGAATCTTTTGGTGCCTCAGTTACATTCTCTGTAAGTAGAAATTATCCCCTTCTGTATACCTCTGAATTAAAGAACTTTGTGAAAAGGAAAACTGGGAGGTTGAACACAAAGAAAGGCAGTATACTGCAGTTGTTTATGTGGAATCCCTTGGAAAGTTTCAGTCACTGTAACAAGTGTAATAGTACTCCCTCTTAGGAATCAGACCATCAGGCATTACATGGGGTGCAGAGGGCAGAGGTGAGAGTTTTGAGTAGTGAGACCTTGGTGTAGCGAGGCTCAATAAGCTATGCTATGAGTGGTCTCAGAAGGTACTCTGGGTCACCCCCAATTCTT